ATTTTGGGATAAAAAAACGTAAAATTAAAAAAGTTGGTATTTAAATCGCTTGGTTGCCTCGACTTACGTTTCATGCTTATCTTTTATTCGCTGTCCTTGTCTACGTTCGGCAAACTACAAAAGGCGGGCGCGAGGCTCGAAAACGTAGTCCCTGACTCTACAAGTGTCAGGTTTAGGTTCCTTGCGGACTGACACTTGTGGAGAATCTACTGTATATATTTGCAGAAAATGAAAATCGACGTAATTTTAACTCAATTGGAGTGATTATTCCCTTCATTAAACGTAGTTTCCTCAGGAAAACTTAATTGTATTTTGTTGCAGCGGGAAATTTTCATCGTGATTTGAACGTTGTTTAGAGAAACTCAAATAGCAATTATTTACAACTACTTCACAGCAGACAATTGCAATATTTTTTATTTCTTAATTGTAAGAGAAAATTTGTTATTTTCTGTTTGAAGTGAGGGAAACACTCTTTATTTCCTATTGCTAATAAAAAAATATAAAAACATTAGTATCGTGTAAGTATATTTACCTGTGTATACCGGCGTAGTTGAAGAAATCAAAAGTGTAGGTCTGCGTGTGTACTGATCCATTGTCGACAGCAGTATCGACAATTTTTCCTTGTGGCACGCTGGTTTGAAGCAGAGTATTGTCGACAGCAACGGTTATGCGATTTTTACCGCCGTAAACCAAATAGGAAGATATCTCAGCTTCGAATGGAAGATGACCCATCTCATGATTGGTTACTAACCCATCGTTTACCCACTGAAATTGTAACATTCGTGTAATGTTCTCTATTTCGTTTTCTCTTAGAGCCCTTGCAGATAGTACGGTGTATGGTCAGCTCTAATATTTCGCGTGGCCATCACGTGCAAGAGTTGACGAACGATGCATAGTAATTACTATTACATAATTATATTTTTAAATATTACGGTAAATGTAATTATCAACATTGAACGGAAAATTTTGTATTCTATTAGAATATTGCCACTTGCACTTCACCACCACTGTCGTGAAATATTGGTACCTTGAGCGTGCAACTGATGCGAATATCTACATTAGGGTGGTCCTTAGCTATCGGTGATGAAAAATTTTTTATGTTAGATGCTTGATACAAATCTCAAACACATCTATCGCGATTTGTATTGACACATGTGTCAACTGACTTACGTCTTTTTCGACTCTCTCTTTCCTTCTTTTCACTAGCAAACTGCCACACTACATTCTAACAAAAATTTAGAGTAAGTACTATTTCTGTTAATCAATCCTAAATTTCTGAACTCAAGATTGTAATCATCTTGACGTCAATTACAGCCCTGTGAAGTGCAAAATATATGGTGCTACTTAAAAAATATCACCTTCACTTTTTTATTAAAAACAAAATTTTTTTAAATTTAACTCCCAAATGTGTAGCGGGCCAAAAATTGACTAGCTTTTGTTCAAAACGTTTCTTTGGCAGATTATCGTAAATGCCTGAAAAATGGTGGTTAATCTTAGAGGGTACACCCTGTATACATGTTAATAAAATGATACGAAGGCATAAAATAGTAAAATAAAAGAGACAAACAGTTATAGTACAAAGTACTTACTACTTGAGCGAGATAATTGACGGATCCAAATCTAATAAAAACTCTCTGCTCTCGCCAAGAAGAGGGCACGAAAAAGGTTCGTTGATACCACACAGCCCCAACGTGATCTCTTAGTTCTCTGGAGGTTGTGATGTCGTTGTATGATGAAGGAACAGGCATTTGCATCACTTTTCCTACCTATATGAAGCGGTATACCTATATAAGTGAATCTTCGTTGATAACGTATAATTTCGTAAAATTAATCTTTATGCAAAGTCATGTTTATGTAAGGAAAATCTAAGCAGGCACATAACCAGTTTGTACCATTCTATTCAGAACTAAAATTATGACTACACTTTATGGTTGTCGCCTCTAAGTTTCAAAAACCTTTAGACCTTCAAATTGTTTGAATTAAAATGTAGCAGTAATTTTAATATTATATTAGATTGTGTAATAAGTTCGTACCACGATGCGTTTATACTTTCCACGATGTAGGTTTTGTATTTCGTGTTACTTTAGAGAAATGAAATCATTAATTCAAACGTGTAGGTACTGTGCTCATTGTCAGTTAGAAAAGTTAAGAGAAGTGAAACGTCCAGGACTCTTAAATCGGAGAAAAATGATTTTACACCACGACAATGCCGAATCACATGTGGCACTAAACGTGCAAAATAAATTACGTGAATTCGGTTGGGAAATTTTATTACACCCACCATGTTCTCTGGAGACTGTCGCATCAGATTACCATTTGTTTCGTGTAAAAAAAAAAATTTGGCAATATCAACTTTATAAGAAATAATATTGAAAAACATTTTAATAAAAAATCGAAGAAATTTTATAGCGACGGCATAATAGCTTTGCCAAAACGATAGATAGAAGTTGTGGAACGAGAGGGAGTGTACATTCTTTCATAGCATTTAAAGGTATGTTTGAAATATTGATCTAAATGGCACATTAATAAACGGCACGAACTTATTGGACGACCTAATATTTTTACTAAATTTCGATGCACTATTTGTTTTACGAAACCTTTGATAGCTCGTTGGCATACCATGCCTCCCTATAACCCTTCAGCGTGTCTCCTGATGGCGATACGAGGAAGTCCCACATACCATCTAGAGATTTTACCTTAATGAGAAATTAATGAATTAATTATAAACGCTGGATAAGCTGTTTACCTACCATTAAAACATAGCAAACTACAATAATTAAGTGTACGCAATGAAAAATGCTTTCATACTCTTTTCTATTCTTTTTATCTTTACAATATAACGATTAAAGCAATTATTGCAAAAATTCGTATAAATAACTGTTTGCAATCTACCGACACTTTTTAAAAGGGATTACAAATATTTTGAATCATTACCATTTTTCAAAGTGGAATATAGTTTTTGGTTGCCTAAAATGTCGAGTATATGCGTTTAAAGCAAAGAAAGTTTCTTCGAACGAAAAGTTGCCAAAATTCGTTTTACAGAAGGGATTAAATTAACAATTGTAGCACCTTTCTGATTGATTCTTAAAATATATTTTTCTCTAAAATTGCGTCCAGAAAAGTGAAAAACTTGGTTGCTTTCTGTATATTTCACAATTTCTGTGCTACTTTGTATGAACTTTGTATTTATTTTTATAGTTAGAAGGGGGATATAATTTGCGGCAAGATTTATGTATAGACAGTAACAATAAAAAAAAAAAAAAGAAAGAAACGAATGAATGATTACCTCTCGCGATTCACTTTCCCGTGGGTAAAGCATACCAGGAAGAAGAGACGGTGCATCTTCTTCCTGGGGCAAAGGCGAGTATTCTATCGGAGTTTCAGGATATTCGATCTCTGGACCCGATTCCCCGGCTATCACCGTACTACTTAAAAGGAAAATTAATCTCCACATTTCTCGTCAACTTTCCTGAAACAAAACAAATAAATAAAAAATGACATTATTAATAGTTAATTTAAAATACACGAGAGTGAATCAACAGTTATCCGGAATAAGGCTGTAACTTTTCATTGAAAGTACATTGCGAGTTGTACGTGTATACTGAGATTCGAAGTAGAACTTGTTCGCGACTTACCCGCCAAACTAATATTAGGTAACTGTTTCAAAATGGTAACGCCAAAGTGTTCGCAACTAATAATTACTACCGAAGAATGCGCGTTATCGTCTCGACTGGTTGACGAACGTAGAGAATTCATTGGTGGACGCGTTAAACTTGAAAATAACATCGAGTTGAAAATTCAGTAACAGCAAAGACTTCGGTAAACGAAGCGAAATATCTCCTTAACTACTGGATTTAGAACTAATAATCGTTAATACTTTTTTATTCAGAAATTAACACTATTTCGAATTTTGTTATAAAAAGTACAACGTTCCATTTAAAAAAAAAAAAAACGAAGTTGATCTTGAAATATCCGAACCATCTATACCTACCTACAAAATGATAAAACTTTCATAAGCATACAGTGCTACACATACTCTCTTTATACGCATTCACTGTAGCAAAATAATGATAAAAACTATACGCGTGAACACGTATCTTTTTGTACACCAGCGGAATTTAGAGTTGAAATTTGCACGCACTGAATTTAGTCCGTTGGAGGGGAACAGGTCCCTCTTCTAGGCGCTTTGTAACTGGGAGATGCGCAAGAAAGATGCGCCGTAGCTCGTCGCTGTCTGGACAGTCTAAGGGACGGGTCGCAGAAACTGGCATGTATTATGCTCATTTCGGTCGGACAACTCATCCAACCAAACTTAATTATTCTACGTACAGTTGAAGCACGTTGTGTTTGGTCTACAGTACCACCGAAGTTCAAGGTGGACTCACATGACATAATAAGACGAAAATGAACCTATTTACATTTTTTCTTTTTTGTTATATAAAGACACGAGTTTCGAGTATATACAAGTTCGCGTTTACAACAAAACTCTGCAAGATCAGGTTATGGCCCCTCTTTAACGTTCATATTATTGAACACAGACTGTTCCGAATGATTCGTGCCAAATCAATATAGCGTATTTAGGAGAACAGATGAATGAAAATATTCATATGAATACATGTCTGAAAATAACTCATTAAGAGGTTATATGAAATGAAAGATTCATTGTCCGTTAAGTAAAGTTCTGTGTACAATGCTCAATTTCATGGCTCTGTAGAGTTGCTGATTGACAAATAAATTATTGTCTTGCGTGTCAGCTATTTCTGTATTCAGAAGCATTGCATAATTATTTATTTAATTACCAATTACTTGGACGTTTATCGATCACGGTGAATCAATCATTTCGCCTCCTAGACCGTCGAATATAACGCCTCGATTTTTATTTATAAAACCAAATAAAAAGGTCAATGTACACAAAAATAGTAGAAATTGAGGACAAGTTTTGGCGAATGGAAGACTGTATCATTGCAGAAAGTGAAACTTTTGAACACCTGTTGTAATTTAATGTTTCAGAACGTTTTGTGAATAATGCAATTAGGAAGCATTGTACAACCTTGTTTAACGAAAAACTAATTTTTTTTTCATTTCTTATAACTTTCTAACAACTTTTTCATCTATTATAGAATTTGGCTCCAAACTTTCGGAATACCGTTTGTGCACTTTTACCAACTTGAGTTAAACTTATTAAATGAAAAGCCCTTTTTTTATGGAATTAGAATAGCTAGAACTTAAGGGAACCTAGTACGGTAACTATAGGGTTACATGGCGTGCTAACAATGCTGTGGCATTTGGTGATAAGATAGACATAGGTCGTTCATATTTTTATTCTTCGACTACTATATACAGGGTCATCTGATACAGGCCGCTGTTTAAAACTCTTATACAAACACCGATTTCCTGGCCGCTAAATTTGAGCTCCTTACGATGTGTATGTATTTGATTGGCATTATGCTACTAGCAATAGTATCCTCCCACTTGAATTTCGTTTACGGCAATTTTACGGTTTTCCAATCAATCGATGCACACATTAATTTTCTAGGGTTTATACGTATACGATAGGCGATTTGTGCAATTTAATACACTATCTAAGGGCTTTAAGTTTTTCGAACTTGTGAATGACGCATAATGAAATACTTGGTACGTTTATAAGCAAATAAGGGAATGCGTTTTCAGAGTTTTATTCTAGGAGGGGATTTTACAAAATGCAAAGCAAAAATATTGGGTAGTTTATACAGGATAGGTCGGCTAATGTTAAAACCTAAAATTTCTCTATTTCCTTGACGATACAAAAAAATATATTTTTTATTCTTCCCATAAGAAAAATATAATTCAGGCTACGTCCAGTGGTTTCAAAGATCCCTACCATACCTACATCAATTTCTATGTTCCTGTAATTATAATTTATACTATGTACAGAGATATCGTCAATATAACAGCAATTATCGATTTTACCTCTGCAAAATGTGGCTTTTGGAAACGTGGAGCAGATAAGTGCACAAAAAAGGGTGAAACTTACAATCTGCGTCCTGCGTCTTTTATTGTTGTACTTTCCTTTTCGCACGACATAATTATTATCATTCTAATATAAAAAAGAAAACATACATAGTTTGTAAAAAAGAAATTGCGGCAAGGAGGCTTACTTCTTTTTAAGAATTCAAGCATAGAAATATTTAAAAAAATGAGATGTTCAGTGCGGGAGGGAGTTATGCCACAAAATGTTGAAAAATGAGATTTCACCTTCAGAATTTTACTTACTTTAACAAAAACATATATTTCGTCAATTCAAATAGTCCTAAATAAAATATTTTGTAATAAGAACAGTTTTTATAAAGTCTCTTTTTTAATCCAATTTTCAAATTTAAGCTTACTGTGTATATACCATTTATATCAGATATGTGTGTCGATACTACTTTTTAACAGTTGCTTGATTCTGTAGAGATAACATAATTTTGCATAAAATTTAACTGAATTTAACCTAATTTTATTTACAACGGTTATAACGAGCATCGCTACTGTTTTTATTAATTTGTTATACAAATTCAATTTTGCACCAAATTTTACCAAATTTACCAATTTGCACCAAATTTTGTGGCCTGGACTTTGTCAGCCAGGAAGAGAAGGCGCGCGGGTACCTGAGGGTGCCATAAACTAAGCCCTTTCCCCGGAAAGTCGAACGAGGGGGCTCCAGCGGGATACGACGCGGAGAGGACACTCTGGAAATAGCATTTAGCAGTCGCTTATCACTATGCTTTAATACATTTTTGGTTGATATCCTATCCTGTGTTAAATTTACTTAAGTTGCGCTAACATGGTCTATCATGTGATATTACTGAAATATTTTTGCGTGTATATGTCGGTAGGAGAAATATGGCGAAGTCAGGAAATTAAAGCATCAAGTAGCGGCACCGATTGATGCAGTGGCACCCAGTAAGCGGCCCTTTCTTTTTGTTGGGACGAATCCAAGCTAAAACATGTTTCGTACAACCCTGACGAAATTTTCGAATCCTTATCTTCTCAGGTTTCTGTTGATTCGTTGGTTGATTTGCTCGAGCATGAAATCATCGATTTGTTCCATCAACTATACTTAAACTTTTCATACTCCTTACGAGTTTTTGAATCTGGATCACTCAGATATACAGATTTACTTTGTTGCACTAAATTATTCTCCTATCTTGTTTGCACATTATAAACATTCTTTATTTTTTATCATCATTTCAATAAAGGGGAATAAAAGATGCATCTCTTCAAATATATGTTACAGCGAATATTCAGTTGACGATGAAGCTGCACGCTATATACTTTAAGGTTAGTAATTATTTGGTGCAAAGGAAACTAAACCAGAGTATTTTACTCTTAAGCTTTTCATACACATGCCACACGACTCCTTTGTGCATTTAATTGCTCGAAACTGATTTACAAGTGCAACTGGAAGAGGAATTTAGAAAAACTGTGATGAAATTCTTATCTGTACGGAAATTTATGTTTACGACCTGGTTGATGTTTATCCTTATTATATCAGATCGATTTAATATTTTTTTGCTTTTTATCCCAGCAATTCCTTCCGTGAATTGATAGAATTTACGATGTCACAAGCACAGTTCACTTACATTTACTTTACGCTTTGCTTTCAAATTGAAAATATCGTTCCACAAATGTAAAATGTTGGATTTAAATCAAAGAAGAAATACTGTTTGAACGACGTATGATAAAATTTGTAAATACACACTGCATAAACAAGATATCAACGCTTGTTTAACGTAAGATAAGGAAGAACGTAAGTTGGTGAAGGGGATGGCGAGTTATATGTCGATGAAACAAATGAAAGTAGTCGAAAATGTACGTGGTGGTTCGTTAACCTAATATAAAAAGAGGAGTAGCTGGTGTGGTACCGTAGGGTCTCGTTCACAGCAATATCGGCTTCCTGGCACGGTGCCCTCCTACGAGAGCAGACTTCCCTTCCCAAAGCATCAAATCGTTTCCTCGTGTCGCACATGTACAGGCGTCGCCGCTGCCCCTAATTCTTCGAATAGACACCACGAGAATTTAACAATTGTTGCTATCTGTAGTGATGGGAATGATATCTTCGCGAACGGTATCAATACACATACGTTAGAAATTCCTGTAAATCGCCTGCTATCGATATGTTAACTTTTCGTAAATGTACAAAGATGCGAGTACGTTCTTATACCAATCTCTCGTTGCACTGGTCCAATTCGAACGTTCTTGCACTCCGATTTTTCGGACACTTTACATTGGTGTTTTGTACAGAACTTGTTCCAAAACTTCGAGCAACAAACGAAAAGCTTCGAATAATATAATTGTAATTATTGTTTCTTTTCGACATTCACATTTTCTTATCTTTATTTGCCCTCTGTAAATAAACACTTGACTGTTAATGCATAGTAAGAAGATGATCAAATTACGCTCAATTCAAACATCTTATCGCTTGATTTCAATTTGGATGCTCGTATATATCATAAGTAATATCAGAACTGTTATCATTGTATGAACAGATACATCTTGAAAATTTTATTAACAGATATTGTTTATTATCATTTTATGATTACAATCAAAGTAAATTGATTATATTTAGATAGTCTGTTTCTTTTGCCTTGAACATTGCACTTTTATTTGATACGAGATCTTTTTTCGATTAATTTCATCGTTGTTTAACAGTGCAATCAGAGTGAAAGTATCCTATTTCTAAAATATTCACGCTAATTTCTTTTGTTGAACGTTAATCTGCAGATATTTAAAACAATGAAATTAAGGTGCACATACTATGCCACCTTATTATATTAGCTGCCATTTCCTTTCTTCAGAGGGAATAAATTTCTAACTAAACAGCCAGTACATAAGAATGAAATTTGTATTATCGTGTACACTAGTTTTTGACATTTTTTCAAGTAACATTGATTTTCTTTATTTCATTACTTTCCTTAATAAATTACGTCTCCCAACTAATTTGCTAATAAGACATTGCGCTTTATACCAAGTGTTCAATTGTTTTTTTTTTAAATCGGAGATTTATTTGTGAAATTAGATTTTCAAACTACGTTCGAATTTCAGGTGTTAAGTTTGATCCCTCGTTTCAGAAATACTCTTACGATTTCAATATCGTAATATTGTAATAGAATAAGATCAGCAGGTATTTTCAGCATTATGTCGAGGAAAATAAATCTTTGATTTACAAAAGTCGTTACTCGTTTAATTTCCTTCATTATTACCCTAATGACTTAAATTATCTGCAGGTATTTCATCGAGTTTCACTTTTGATCGGGATTTTAAAATATCAAATACCTTTTGCAAAAAATTGTTGTTAAGTTCTTTGATAAGTATAACTCTCTGCTTTGCAATTTCCTCAGTCGATTGTTGGATGTCAACCAACTAAACTAGTAGAACGAGGCGAAGACACATCAGCTACTGAAGTTCTCCGATCAAATGCTATCGGTTATCAGACGTCACTCCTTTTATAAACAATAA